ACTTTTTAATTACCCCGCTTTAGCGATCCCCTATATATTGAAGATTTTTGGTTCTTAGATTACAAATTTCGAAGACTATGAAAATTTAATTAGAAGTACAGCCCTTAAAACTGGTTATTATAAATCCAAATTTTGCATACATTAAAATTAAGTTCCAATGAACAAAGTTACGAAGCTAATTAAGTCTTTCTATCGAAAAAAATATTATTTATTTAAAAAATTTTTTAAACGAATGAAGTAGCGATTACACGTAAAAAAAACCTGGAAAAAATGGGGTTCCCATAGATAATGTAAAAACAAACTTCGTAACTTTATAGATATGGTAACAATAAACCAATTAATATCAAAATAGTTTTACTAAAATGAATGGTGCGACCTGCGCATCTAAAAAAGCGAGACCCAGTTTTTATATATAAATCATATTACATAAATGATCACATTACATAAATGATCACTAAAAAATCTAGATTAATTAAAATATATAAGTGACCACACATAGTTTTGATTTACATAGTTTACCGCACATCACAATGTGTAAACAATCGTGCAATACATTTGATTTTTAATCTTTCATTGTGTAAAAAAATCGTGTCACACCGGGACTTTGGTCAGCGGTACTTGAATTTCTCACGCACGTACGTACGTCCTGTGATGATAAGGGTATTTGCTAATTAACCAATAACAGTACTCAAGAGGATTTAATGCAATTACGAAAGAGGCAAACGACAAATGTATATGAAGATGCAAATAGACAAATAATAAGTTAATTTATTAAGTTATTCGAGTAATTCGTGAATGAACATAAATACATATTTAATAAGAAGCTGTTTGGATCCATGTAAAAAAAGTCTTAATCCGAGTCACCCATAGGTAATCACCGGATTACCGGAGGTAGGATACAGGTGGGTTACTGTATACGATTACGGTACAATTCCCCGAAAGCTATTTACCCGACAGGTCACTTACCCGACATCACAAAGGTGACAAATTGCTAAAAATATATACAGTTAACCCCCTCTATAGTCACCTCCTCTATAGTCACAAAATTGGTATAATTACTAATTTATTTTTACCAATTATTTATAACTATATAGAAAATACCTCTATAATAGTCACACCTCTTTATAATCACAGTTTTTTGTATCCCGAAGGTGTGACTATAGAGGGGTTTGACTGTACCTGCAGCTAATTAAATGCTAACGCTAACCCTATGTGATTTCATGTACGTACGTACGTAAGTGGTCTGTCGGGTAAATAGCTTTCGGGGAATTGAGCAACAACAGGTTATACAGATTATCCGGATTAGCTGGTTATGGATTACAACTAGTTGTTATACAAAGAAGCATCTGGCTATCACATTATTTTGAGTACCCTAATGGCCTGCAAATCCGGACTTCCGATCTAATTCGACATGATTACAACTAGTTGTGATACAAAAAAGCATCGTTGTAACATTCGCTATCACGTTATTTTGAGTACCCTCTTGGTTATGGATTACAACTAGTTGTTATACGAAGAAGCATCTTGCTATCACATTATTTTGAGTACCTTGATGGCCTGCAAATCCGGACTTCCGATCTAATTTCGATATGGATTAAACTAGTTGTTATACGAAAAAGCATCGTTATAACATTCATTATCACGTTATTTTGATTTTTTTTTATTTTTTTTTTATTTTTTTTTTAATGTTTATAGAGCGGCTTCTTTGCCCTCATGGTTTTTATTAAGTATTAACAACCTATTACTAGGAGGGTATTACATTTCACATATCAACGAGGCTACAATTAGCCACACGTACAATTTTAGTCATTGTCTATTTAAAGGCTCCGCCCGCAGGTTACCTACTAATTGCCATACCTGGAACCCGCCTGTGAGTTCCCTATTTAAAGTCTCTGATTTTCAATATTATTCTGTAACACCAAACTTGTTTCATTCAGGCTTAGGGCTAATTTACCCTCGAAGCAAACTCTACCATAATGGAGATAGATCCCACATCTATACCGGTTTTTGGGTTTTTGCGCCAGAGGTGATTCCATAATTGGTAAGGCCAATCCTTTACCACAAACGTCGACAGCATTCTCCACATTTCTCACTATAGTAGTGCCGCTCTCTGCCATACCAGTTTCCTTCCAGGAATTCCTTGATTCAAATATGTACCTTCACATGGACTTCGCCACAGGGCTTCGCATCTGATTATAGGCTCCAATTTTTGGTTACAGAGTATTTACCTCCAGCCGTACTCGAACCGTTGACCTTGTCTGTGGGGGAACGGGAGCTTAACAACTAAGCTATGGGACCCGAACCCTATCATGTTATTTTGAGTACCCTCTTGGTTATGGATTACAATTAGATGTTTTGAAAAAGCATTGTTATAACATTCGCTATCACATTATTGAGTACCTTCCTAGTTATGGATTACAACTACCGTAAAGGGTCATCCCCCTATATACCAGATATCCATGAACTAGACCCGGGCGCGAATTACGGGATCTACATAATCAAGCCTGGTTTTTTTTCAAATATCTAGACTACCGGCGATAAATGCAAAATGTGCATACTCTTCAAATTTTTTTATTAATGATACTAAACTCTCAGCCGTACACGAAACCTGGGGTTTATTATCAGTTTGGCAAATGACAAGGTCATAAGGTCATTAAACAAATGACAATATCATTATATCATATGACATATTATCATATGTCATTTTTCATATTATTATATGACATAATCATATGATTACATGACTTGTGATATATGTCATTTGTCATTTGCCATATTTAATAAAAATTGGATTTGAGTACTGCCAAGAGAAAACCACACAACAGGTCAATTTGTTTACTGAGTGCCGTCTATCAATTATATTTTATACGAATATACCAAAGTCCAAAAAGAAATAGATTAGTATAGATAAGCTAGACAAAAGACACTGGCACGAAAGGAAGACACTGGCACGAAAGGTACAGAGCTAGGCCTAAGGACTAAACAAAAGCCAGACTTGTACCAACAATTCTTGTACAATTATTATACGTTTAGTGTTGTATTTGTTATTTCTAACCGTTTAAGTCGCTTAACGATTGTATTATATTTCCCGTTATTTCCCTATTTTAATTATTGTCCCTTTGACATTACGTACTGCGTACATACTCCACAGTTGCTAAATTAATTATTATAGTGTGATCTGTTAATTAATTATCGAGATATAATTAACTAGGCCCCGATCTCGATTTAATTAATTACGATTACTCACGTGTACGTATAAGCTATTTCTATGAGCGATGGTACTTATTACTTATATAGCTTAATTATTGTGGTTCTAATACATATACCATATCGGTTCACTATTGGAGCTAAATCGTACCGATAGTGTAAAAGCTCATCCGAACAATAGTCAATAGTATTAATTTAAAATAAATAAGCATTATATTTTAATGTCAAAATATTTTATAAAGTTACTAATACCAAAGCGGATCTCTATACAATATATTAACAATATATATGTTCTGGCTAATTTCACGAATTCGATCAATTCCGATTGAGAAATGACCCAGATCAATTTTTGAGATGAATTAAATTGTACGTTGGTCACACCCCGGCGGTAAATGGTCACTTGATCCCGAAATTTAAGACTTATAATTATACTATACTACAAATGTATTACGTATGTCGAATTAATGCATAAAACCTTTGAATGCTTAATTTAAATATCTCTTTTTCATATTTTCTTAAAAATGGAAGACATAACTTTCTGGCGCGTGAAACCTTTGATCGTATCTTAGAAACTTTTATTCGTCAAAGGAACAACAAACGATGCTTAATGGATCATAATCAATGTTTAACTCTACTTAAAAATCCCAGCGATTTACAAGACACAAAATTCAAATACTGGGTAACTAATAATTTTAAAATTCTTTACGTTGGTGCGACAGAAGAACCTCATATGATTAAACCAATTGAAAATGATCTGGAAATGCAAGTTTATCCTGTTGAAAACATTTATGAGATAATCAGTGCTGCGTACTAGGCAACGGAGCACGCTGGTCAGGACAAAACGTGGCAAAAGGTATTTTTTTATTAATTACTTATTTATTATCATTTTATTATACTAATTATTTTATTTATTACTTATTTATTATTATTTATTATTATATTATTATACTATTTATTATTTTATTTATTATTTATTTATTATTATATTATTATACTATTTATTATTTTATTTATTTATTATTTATTTATTATTATTTTATTATACTACTTGTTATTTTATTTATTACTTATTAATTTTACATACAATTAAATGATTCGTATGCGTTAATGTTTTATCCCGCAAATGATAGTTAATGATGCCGTTCGTGAATGCAAAGTTTGTATTACCAGACGAGCCTTTATAGAAAAAAATAATAAGATAATGGTTTAGGTTCATGTAAAAGGTATATGTTGGCTTATGATTAGTTATTTTTTATAGTAATAATTACAAGATTTGTAAGTCAGCATTTATCAGATTAAGAGTTTGTAGTATGAAAAAAAGAAAGTTTTTTTGTGTCACTAATCCAGTAATCATAAATGATTTTTATTTCATTTGCAACTCGCAATAAATAATATAAAAAATTCCTAATTTTGATAATTAGGCACGTAGTATTCTGTTCGTCATACTATTCTATTGTCTAATAGAATTATTAATCGGTTAAAATTATAAATCGATTGTTATTGATTATAAGGTTGAAATAAATATCTATCGACAAAAATTTAAGACTTTATTCAGTAAATTAGTCAAAAAACAAAAAATATACAAGTTTCATTCAATACTGAAACTTCTCTTTGTAAATTCGTTATCAAGAGGTCTGTCTGGTGGTTAATGAGTTAAACTCCTATATGAAATATGAAATTTGTTATCAAATAGTGCTTTGTAAGGATAGAATAATAATAATAAAGTAAATAACATCAAAATAGCAATTAACATTATTATATAAATTTAATTATCATGCTAAATAATTACCGTTTTAAGCTTGGGATATCTCAGAATACAACGTTTCAATTTCCTTTTGGAACTTAATTCTAGCTTGATGCCTCTTCAATTTAAAAGTAGGAGTTAACAAATCGTTTTCTACACTAAAACTTTCGGATATCAAGCATATATTTTTCACATTTTCAAACCCTTTTAGATCATTTATTTTACCATGATTAACTAAGGTTTGAAGAATATGTTTCTTGATTTCTGGAAGTTTGCATAGCTCTTCAAATGTGTGTTTTTCCAAATTATTTTGTTTTGCCCACAAAATTAAAGCATCACAATCTGGCACAATTATACCAACTAATGATTCTTGAAGTGATTCACCATATACAAATGCTTGAGCGACTAAATTATGTTTACAATAAACGGTTTCAATCTATATAACAATAAACAATTTTTTAAAAAAACAAGTATTTTTAACAGACAGAACAAAATAATAAAACACATCGTACCTTTTCAGGAGCAATATATTCACCCTGAGCCAATTTAAAAATATTTTTAATACGATCGACAATTACAAGTCTACCTAATTCATCCCACATTCCAATATCACCAGTATGGCACCAACCATCTTTATCGAGTACTTCCTTTGTTTTCTGTGGTTCTTTGTAATATTCTTTAAATACTGAATGGCCTCTAACACATATTTCACCTCGTGGATATGGTTTGTCCTTTGATGTATAGTTCATGTCAGGTACATCTACTAACTTAACTTCACCGCACACTTGTGGAGGTCCTACATGACCAGATGCCAAATCTCCATATAGCGACTAATTTAAATAACAAAATATTCAAAATTGGGTTTCAAGCTTGTTTAATACTGATAAATTGGTCAAATTATGTTTTTATAATAATCAATATATAAATAAGAAATGATACGCACGACTGACAAAGCACCAGCACTTTCAGTTTGACCATATGCTTCAAAAACATTAGCGGAAAAACAAATTTTTAAAAAATCCATAACATCAGGAGAAATAGGAGCAGCACCAGACACAATTGTTCTAACTCTACCACCGAGTCTTTCGCGGACAGAAGAAAAAACTAATTTATCCCACAGCCAATGATCAATTTTACCTTTTGACAACCCAATTTTTTTGGCATTATACGCAGTTGTAAACATCCAATGAGCTACTCTACTTTTTTCTTTAACTGAAGCAAACAATTTATCATATATCCTATTAAGTAGTCTTGGTACAGAAAAAAATACAGTCGGCTTTAATTCAGCAATATCATCCAATAATTTCAAAGTATCACCTTGATAAAATCCGATTGCAGCGCCAGCATAAATAAATGTAATTTCAATTACTTTTTCATACACATGAGATAATGGCAAATACGAAATATGCACGTCATCCTTTTTAAATTTTATCAATTTTCCTTTTTCACCAAGAAATATTGTACTACAAATTGTCGCCATTAAATTTTTGTGAGTCAGAACTACACCTTTAGGCATTCCAGTGGTACCACTAGTGTAGCAAATAGTAGCAATATCATTAGGTTTAGGATTGACTTCTTCTGTCTTATGAGATTTACCATCATTTTCTACTGTCATAAAATCGACTAATTGAACTTTTAATTCATTAGCGCGCTTTATAAAATCTTGATCTACATCATCAGAGATGATAATAGTTTTAAGTGTTGGTAATGATTCTTTCATATCTAAAAGAGTTCGACCTTTATTAGAAGTAGTGAACACAAATTCCAACCCAGTCTGATTAATAATAAGTTTAAGCGCTTCTGCACCCAAAGTATCATAAAGTGTTACAGATATAAAGTTATATTGATTACAAGCAAGATCAGCAATAACCTTATTTATAACAATGAATAAAGATTATTTGTTAGAAAAAAAGCGAAATTTTGTTTTATAAGAAAAAAATATATATAAAATAAAAATAAAAAATTTTACATATTCTGGAGTATTAATAGAAAAGAATCCAAGAAATTCTTTAGTTTTTAAGCCAAGGTTGCATAGACCGGAACCAAAATTTGCAACACGTTGTTGAATCTCCGAGTATGTTTCCCAAACATAGGGTTGAGCGACTCCATTAATGATAGGTCGATGTCCCAAAAATTTACTATCCCCTTTTTACATGAACAATTACGATAATTAAAATGGTTAACGGTCAATGAATTATAGAATAAAGAATTGATTCAATTTTTAAATTTATTCTTACCTGATACCTTAACCCCGAGCAAAAAATTTTCATATAAAGTAGTTGCTTCAGGAGGAAAATCAAGCAATTTATCAGGAGAACAAGCGTTACGCCTCGGTTTTCCTTCACCTGGAATTTCTGGTGCGTCCTTGTTTTCAATTGACTGCATACTCAATGAAAACTATTATTACTAATCTTTTTATGTAGAGCTGAAGCCAGTTTCTCGTAGAAATTTTTTTTGTCCAAATATAGAAAATTAAGTCAATCCGTTATTTGGAATGGAGAGATAAAATCACGAAGTGTATGGCTTATCAGAGAAATAAATGGTACGTACGTACGTACGTACGTATTAGCCACAAAATCTATTATCCGATTGGACAGCATGATCACATCCGTCACATATTGCCAGATTTTCACACCTCGTAAAATTACACAGCCACATCATTTTGTCGATTAAGATTTATATATTCTCTTGCCTGGACATGAGCAGATTGTACGAAGCAACATACGTACATATGGTCTGCTTTAAAAGACAAATTAGCTGTAATAAGAAGAAATTCGTTTAAATGGCTAGTTGCCCAAGTAACTTATTTATACAATTTGAGATACTTTAAGAACGAAGCGTTTCACTAATCAAAAATTATTGTTTATAGCTTTAATGAGGTGTTAACATTTACTATATAAAAGGACCAAACCCCCAAAGGAATTCATTTAGAAGATAATATACACCTGGAATGAGGTATTTAGAATTTTTTCAAGACTGCTTTATTACATTAGACTTAAATAAACTTTTGTTAACTATTTAATTTGAATAGGAATAAAATTATAATAAAAAAAGATCCATGTTTTATTCTGTCAATCATAATAAGTTTTAATTTTTAAATTGTATTTTATATTAATAAGTTTTAGTTTATTAATGCTTTTTCAGCCACTTTACGTATATCTGTCTATCTTTCACGTGTACGAAAATTTATAAACTTCGAATTTTTTATGTAGTATATATTCTTAGAGAGATTTCACTACATAATTTATAGCAAGAGCCAAACTATTTGTAGCTACTTTCTCCATGACACTACTTTCTAAAATTTCTGTTGGATCGATCTTTTAACAATATTGTGCATACTTACAAAGAGTTTATACTATTCTATTACATTTTTAAATATGGATAGCAATTCTCGAGTTTCATGCTCAGCTCGCTACCTATGATCCAGTTTTTACTCCTAAATAAATATCATTTGTAAATACTTTTATAATAATCTATCCCAAACATTATTCTTTTTCATTATTTAATCAATTCATATTCAAATTATTATCTTAAGATATATTCTTTTTCCTAAAATACTGGCACTAAAGTTAACCCCGTTCAAGGTTTCAGCGTGACTACGTTATGCAGCTAACTAAATTTCGTGACAATAATATAAGGCAATGATCCTATGATAATTGGAATTTTTTCTCAAAATTTGCAGTATTAGTGTTAGTTTTAAATTAAACTAGGAAAACGGGATCCATTGGGTTCCGGAGCGCCGCTTTGTATTTGCAAACAAATCTAATTATTTGCAAGATAGTAATAAAAATTCTATTTATCTTTATACTGTATATGTGCCCAATGAAAGCTAAAGGCCTTTAGCTCTGTAAAATAGGTTCTTAGATGCAATTTAGCACTATGAATTATGTTATGATTTAATTATATGATTTGCATAAAAAAAATTGTTCTCACTTATTAGATCACAAAAATTTAAGTTGTTCTCATTACATCTACATTTCAAATTAGCTTAT